ATCGATCAAGGCATTCTGAACTAGATTCCCTCTATCGAATGAGGTTCTCAATCAATACAAAGCAGTGAATCAACCCTCGACTAAAGCAATTGATCCACTACTATCAATCTATGGTGCTCTATTGACCTAATCAGGTATTCGCTCTCATAGGATCAAAGCAGAATCAATAATCTCGACTAAAGCATAATTGAATCGTGAAAACATGCATAGATTGAATATGAACTCAAGATTATCAAGTCAGAGTACTCATACAATCATCCAATCAAACAAATATAGCTAGGGTTCCTCAAAACCTAGTTAAGGGAAGTTACTCCATAGAGAAGAGAGAGACTGCAGTAAGAATCTTCAGATGGTCAGTCTTCGAGTCCGGGCTTATTCCTCGAGCTTCCAAAGCGAAGAAATCTTCCAATTCCACTCTTAGAATGCCCTCAAATCGCCCTCTCTTTCTAGGGTTCGTCCCTTGGGTGTTTGGGATCCAAAAAACCCAGCTCTCTCTTGTCCTTCTGCTGAAAATCGTGTTTTAACTAGCAATTCCTGACTCGCACGGCCAGACCGCACGGCCGTGCGGCTCACCCACTTGGCCGTGCGAGTCGAAACGCAGCGTGTGGATTAGTCGGTCTTCAGCCATCTCGCACGGCCAGGGTTGCACGGCCGTGCGGATTTCATGGTTTGCCCGTGCGTGGCCTCGGCAAAAAGCGCACGGCCTGGATTGTCCTTCGCACGGCCGTGCGATGCCCAGGACTGCCCGTGCAGCTTCCTTGGAACCTCGCCATGCGTCCGATCCTCGTCCAATCGACCCCAAACTCGCTCTCAAGCCTCCATTCACGTACTAGGACCTGAAATATCACAACCAAGCACAACCTAGCGTGAAATCGGCCTAAAACACGAGAATCAATACATCAAACGGTGTAAGAACGAGGGTAAAAACATGTGTAAATAACGGTCTATCATGTATCTTGACGAATCCTTTCTTCGTGTTGCATATCCTGCATGCCCATCTTGTTGGGATTCTTGATTCTTGAAGATAACAACTTGATTGATGTTTGGAGTTGCATCTTGACGAATCCCGGCTTCGGCTTGCAGATCCTTTGTATCCATCTCGTCTTGCTGGATTAACGGTTTGTTGGTATTAATCTCACCGAGCCCCACGGTGGGCGCCAATTGTTGATGCCAAGCTGCCGAGAAAGCATAAATGAGCGTCCTATTTATAGGTGCCTCCTGCTTCTGGCGTGGATGGCGTGTGAAGAATAAAATAAAAATTAGACACTTACCTCGCCACCAATGGTTTGCTCCTGAAAATTCTTCCCTTGGCCACGTATCTCATGGGGAAAGCATAGCTAGAGTGGATGAATATTGCTTGGCTTCTCCCACGTGTTCATGAATGTAAAAATGATTATGGTTGCTTGAGTTGGGTGGGGAAATGCACACATGCATCCTTAATCCAACTCATAGGTCATTGCCATGTGTCATAAAAAAGATGGGTTGTCAATTGTTTGTTGTCTTGATGAGGTGGGTTATTTCTCAAACAAAATAATTGGAACAAGACAATATATTTTCTACATGAAATTGAGAGGGTGATTGGTGGAGCTAGGGAAATGGAAGACAAGAGGAGCATCCTTTGTCTTTCTCCCCAAAAGCCACGTGGATGGAATTGGTGACCTTTAGGGATGGCAATGGGTCGGGTCGGGGGTGGATAGTGCATATCCGTTACCCTACCCAAAGTACTTCGGGTTTTACCCATACCCATACCCACATGTGAAACGGGTAGAAAATCAAAACCATGCCCATACCCGTTCGGGTTTCGAGTATCCACGGTTATCCATGGATATTAATTTCTCTTCATAACTCCAACCAATATGTTAACATTCACACATATTCTTATATTAAGTAAGAGAAAAAGTATGACAAGAATTCACTAGAATGAAGAAAATTAACTAAAACAACACAATTTCATGAAAATGTTATATTTATATGCTAAATATAAAATATGTTAGAGAAAAACAATGATTATTTCTAGACAAAATACATATGCATGTGTATAATCGGGCGGGTTCGGGTCGGATAGTGAGAAATCCATGCCCACCCATTACCCGCAATATTCGGGTTCGGGTTTTACCCGTACCCACTAAATGTCCTTCGGGTTCGGGTTTTACCCTACCCGACTAGGCCGGATTCGGGCGGATATCCACGGTTGCGGATATTTTTGCCATCTCTAGTGACCTTGTTGAATGGGTTAATTTCACTTGTTTCCCTAGTTAGGTGTTCAAAATTGAGAAGAGTGTGCCACCCATGTGTGTAATATTCCTTCATATGGTTGGAGGGTGAGCAAATAACAACTTCCCTCCACGTTGTTAGTTGATGGAAGCAGTTTAATTACAATCCAATTTGGTCATATGGAGTTACATAAGTGTGAGGGATAAATGCACTTACTTTTTGCTATACCCATGTGTAAATAAATGGGTGAATGGGAATGATGGGTAAGAAGCATCCTTAATCCACCTCACCTCTACGTGTAGCTAGGGAAAGTGAGTGGTGAAATACGGGGTCCATCACAAGGGGAATGAGGGTTTAGGGTTTCAGAGGAGTATAAGGTATAAGAGGTGGATGAGATGCTTTCCTTCTTTATTGTCATTATTGGTCCAGTTGTGTCAAGTTGATTCTTATTGTTGTTATCCGTCATCTTGGGTGAGATTATTTCAGCGATGGTCAAACCCTAATTAAGTCAAACCCTAATTGGGGTGAAACCCTAATTAAGTCAAACCCTAATTCCCTCAAACAACTGTGGTCAAAATAATATATAATTTAGTCAAACCCTAATTCGGGTCAAACCCTAATTCGAGTCAAACCCTAATTAAGTCAAACCCTAATTCCCTCAACCAACTGTGATCAAATAATATATAATTTAGTCAAACCCTAATTAAGTCAAACCCTAATTTCCTCAACCAACTGTGGTCAAATAATATATAATTTAGTCAAACCCTAATTAAGTCAAACCCTAATTCCCTTAACCAACTGTGGTCAAATTAACAATTATATAATAATTATTCAACTATCAATATTAAACTAATTAAGATACTAACAGTTGTATTTAAAATAAATCTAATAAATATTTATTTAAACCGAACCATTCAAACCGAATCATAAACCCAATCAGACCGGGCGGACGGGGTCCGCTCCGGCCAGTCGGACGGCATCCGCTCCGGCCCGTCGGACGGCGACTGAAAAAAAAAATTCCCTCCGCCGAGCTTGGGAGGTTGGCGGCGGCGAGAACGAGCGAGGAAGTCGGCGGCGACGGAGGAAGGAGTCAGCGGCGGCGGGAGGTACGGCAGGAGGAGGGTCGTCAGCGGCGGGAGTTCAGCAGGAGGAGGGAGGGTTGAAGGGGATGGCGGCAGATGGGTTGAGGGTGGGATAGGGTTAGGGGTAAAATCGTCTTTTTTATTCTAACTATGGGTGGCAAATAGTAAAACTGCGGGCGGCAAATAGCGATTCACTAAAGTTACACACTAAACCTTTTATGTAAGCCTTCTTCTTTGGTTTTAGCACTTATAGCCTATGTCACACGGTGAAATAAGTCCGCTTATGGTATAGACACATATTTAACTTCTCCTATAAAAAGTTCAATATTAAAGTTACGGGTGTTGATATATTTCTAAGACACATTAAGAACAACACATACCTCTAATTGAAAGTTATAATTATATGTCGTATGTATGGGATTTGTATATCATACCTTTGATTTTGTTTAATGTACGATATAATTTCAAGCTTGAAACATATTATAGATTTTTACAGTATTAATATAGAAAATCAAATAAAAACAAATATAAAATAGACAAAAAAATGAATTATTATAAGTAAGCAGCTTGATGAACAACATTATAACAAAAGCAAAATGAATATTATAAAACATATTATTCAATACATTTTTTACAAAATTAAAACAAATTTTTAATTAACATTTCAATATTTTGGACCTAGATGTAGATCATAATGTAATTGACTATTTCTGCTGTGTATAATTTGGATGGCAATCATGGCATGTTCGTAGCTCATAGTAGTCTATATATTTGGAAGATATTTTTTTATCGATAGTAGGGAAGAAAGTAATTGTAGGATTTTGATAAAGTAAAAGGAAACTAATAAAAAGAAAGAAATAATAAAGGGTTAGGTTAGCGGCGTTGATGCTGGTGTCAGTGGTGTGGTAGTGGGAGAGGTGTGGAGGAAGAAACCATGTCGTTTTAGTGGCACTTTTGTTTTGGTTTGGGTTTAAGGACTTCAATTCACAAACAATGGGCCGCCGGCTCAAGAGCAAATGTTTTTTAATGATGTAGTTTTTTATGATAGAATTTGGACGAAAATACCCTTACTGAAAATTAAGGGGAGGCTAGGAATTTTTGAAAGGAGAAAACCCAATAAAACTCTACTATCTATTATTCTTTAAATAGATTTAGGGGTCGTTGGAAGTTGTGATTATTAAATAGATGTATTGTTGAGAATGCATGTATAATATTATACATGTATTGTCGAATTTGATGCATTGTAGAATACAACGTTTGGTATGTGTGATTGTGTATGTCGCATCAGCTAAAAGCGGAGACAAAACAATCTCAACTCAACTATCTCAACAATCACAACTAAAAGTTGAGATATAACAATCACTCAAAATGAGTGATAGTATCTGTCGCATCACAGAAACAATCCATGTATTGTTTCTGCTAAAAAGACACACAAAAAACGATACATTGTAAACAATACATTCATAATGACAATCTCAACAAAACAATCGCAACTTCCAAACCACCCTTAGATTTAGATTTAGATTTTAGACTTTAGATAAATCAAACACTATAATTAGGAATGAAAACTGATAAGAAAAGAAAAGATAATGAAAAACCGTCAAAGGAAGGGAATCTATATGTTTTTCCCCCCCTTTTTACTGTCTGGGCAGTAGGTGAACCCATCATTATTTTTTTGCTACTTTTAGGGGGTAAACCGGTATTGGGCTAATTAAAGGCTTACGTATGGGCTGGTGGGGGTTGGCTGCACGAGAAAGAGATGGAGTTGGGGAGAGAGAGAATTCTTGACGAAATGGAAGGTCGTTCTACATCTTCTGTCTCTCGTCTCGTTTCCTATCTTCATCAATCTCTGTATTTCCCAAGCAAAAGCCTACACAACGACTAATACATCGATATGGATTGGTTTTTGCTTACCTTGCTTGATGTTGCTTCGAGGCTCGAGCTATACAGTTGTGTATTTTGAGGAGTCGGATCGGGTCTACCACGCAACGCTTGAACTCGTCAGATCATTTGATTCGATGGTATGGTATCCTATTGGTTTGTTTGCAATGCAATTCAATCATCCTAGGCCGTGTATAAGTTTTGCCTCGTCTTAACCCTCTCATCCAAAGGCGTGAAGCGGGTGAATTAATAGATCTTCAATGGTTACTGTGTTCTGCTTATGTTGCCGAAGGATAAAGTTGTAGACTTTTTCTCAGAAAGCCTTGTTCCTCTTTGATTTTTGTATTGTCTTTTATTCAAGTTTAACATCCCGGATGTGGTTGGTTTGTTTTGACAGTAACATAACATCCTTTGGCGTTACAATCTATCTACCTGTTATTGAAGTCATTCGTTGAGTCTAGGGGGAAAAGAAAGAGTATTGATTGATATGGGCCTCTGGCAATCAAGAAGACTCTGCTGCGTCCAAAACTATTAGATGCCTCCATTTACTGTGATGGAGGCAGCAGCTACAATACAAGGGATAGTGAATACATGTTGCTGATGAACAAACAGAGAGAGAGAGGGAGGGAGGTTTAAGATGTGATATTGGACAATCAGAGTGGCTTGGTTCACCGGTAGTTTACTGCGGACAATGTAAAATCTATTTCAGTGCTATCTATGAAAACCCAAAGGAGTGGGAGAAATGGCATGGCAGCGAAAGACGACTAGTGTATTGTATATCCAGTTATGAAGTGACAACCTAAGTCCTAAAACAGGGTGGAGTGGAAGGTGATGGCAGGGATGGGGTTGGGAGGATTTGGAGGAGAGGGGGGTGTCCTGTCCTGGCTGCAGGAGTTTCTTAAAACTCAGTCACCTGACTGACCAATTTGCGTCCGTCCACCCGGGAGGTTATTCCATCCTACTCTGCTTTGGCTATGCGCCAAGACCAGAACGTGGAAAGAAGAAGATGGCGTTGTTGCCGTGAGCTGAATTTCTTGAACGGGTGGCAGGCAGCTGGGCGCAAATTGGCTATTGATGAAGGCTTTCGCGCACTGGTACTTGAAATGGATTTTGGTCTTACTCTCATATTCATATACAAGCTGAAGGAAGATGACCAAAGCTATTAATAGATTGGAGAGTCCCTCAAGTGCGTTGTGAGAACCCTTCCAGCGCGAGATGTGAGCAAAGCAGCACGTTTAATGGTCACCCACTGAGCAGGGGATTTGAAATTCGGATCACTACTGATTTCATCTCGATCAGGGCAGGTGAGTGAAGAAATGTACCTTCAAAAATAGCCTTGCTCTCTCTTGATTATTAACTTATGTGAACTCTACTCTTTTTTCCTTTGTAGCATCAAGGAGACAAAAGTTAGGGGGCATGCCATGGATGCGGTCTGCAACTTATCAGGTTTGCTTCCGTTTTTTATTGGTCCTACCCGTCAGTCAGTCAGTCAGTCAGTCATATTTATGTAAATGGTCAGCTCAAATTTGCACTTCAACTTACCTATGTCTATGTCATGTCTAGCCGTCATTGCAAATTCCAACTTCAGATAATTATGAATCAGAAACTTGATTTCTTCTGTTTAAAGTTGAAGTTTTGGCATCAATCCCAGACCATACCCTAAGTTTTTATTAGCTTTAGCTTCTTCACTATCACCATTGATTGGTGGTGGATTTGTGTGTATTTGGATTACAAGTCACTGGCCAATCTTATTTGCTTGGGAAAGAATTGTAACAGTCTTTGCTTTCCTCAATTTTCTCACAAGTAGGCATGGACATTGATCAGGTAGGTCGCCCACCAGAGCCTGATTTTTAGTTGGGTGTTAGTCATCTCATTTCCATGGCCGTCAATTAAGTTAGGGGTGGATGGGGATCAACGCGACTATCTCGCATAGGGTGCTAACATTATGTGTGTGTTACACCATGCTAACAATAATTAGTAAGAGTATTTTGATAAAACTATTTAAAAGTTCATTGTGTTAGCACCATGCTAACAATAATTAGTACGAGTATTTTGGTAACTGTTGCTATTACCCTCCTCCCCTCCATGTCTACTTTATGCGTTTTCCGATATGCTTTATGAACTTCTAACATATTATTCAAACTCTCTAATGAAAGATATGTTAGAACTTTATCAAAGTTCAAATTAGTAATTGGAGTGGCAGTTGGGAGTTGATCACTTACATCTAGCTAGAGACTTAGAAACAAAGATGAGGAAGTATAAGTGAAATTAGTAACTAAGGTTAGATTGTCTCAACTCATCTTATAGTATTTTTTTTTCTTTTTTTTTTTTTTGGTTAAAAAGAGTGATTAGTGGACCAGTTAAACTGAGATGGTTCATCTGATTCCATCTTCAAAAGTGAAAGATTGTTTGGTTCATCCCTAACCAACCAATCACATGGACTGAACTACTATTATAATTGGTTTGACAATTCTACTAGTCTGGTTGTTGATCTGGTCTGGTTCATATTCTAGTGATCCTCACTACTCGTAGAATTTGGAAATTCCACCTCAATTCCTCGATATTGCTAAAATTAACTTCAATGTCATCGAATTCAAAATTTAGAATTGAAAATGAAGTTCTATATATTTCAAAACACTAAAAGAATTTATTTCAAAATAAATTTCTAAAAACTTAAGGAATTCATTTGTACTACTAAGAGTAGCACACGTATAGTTGACTACATACAAAATCACCTCTTTTCACAGGCCAGTGGTCTACATGCTCTCGCTGGCGACATCACTTACTCTAAGCAGCATTGACCTAGAAGTTCGTCATTCCCTCCTTTCTCCCGTCCCTCGCTTCGAGCGGCAGTTTTGGGTTCATCGAGGTTAGGGTTCGAGCCTGACTACTGCTTTTTTGTGTTAAAATCTGAAGTTTATGTGCTCTCGAGTCATGGAATTGGCGTCATTTGCCTCGATGAAAAAATGGGACGATTAGGGTTGCATTTGCTTGCTTCATTGGGTCAACTCACCGAGTGAGCTAGTTGGTTGGTGTTACTGGGGAAAAGTAAGTTCTGTTTGGTAGCTTCTAGTTTTTCGATTGGTGGTGATAGAAATAGGGTTTGCGTCGATATTTAGTGAATTCGGGCTGGTACTCTTCGAAATCTTCACCTCCCCAAGAAACTAATTAGACCTGCTTCTTTCCATATGTTGGGTTCATTTCCTGCAGGCACTTGATACTTTGAAGACTGCAGTTGTATCCCCTCTCCAAGTAGATCGCTAATCAAACATTCAGATTACGGACATTGTTTGCAGGTGGAGTTGGAAGGCTAGAGACATTAATTAGAGGTAAAACATTCTCACTTGTAAATTCGTTTACACTTGAGCATTTGTCACTTCTTGTTTTTGGTAATTCTTTCATCTTAGTTTTAGCTTGTTTGGATGAGCTGTGACTGGCAGATTCTGTGGATAGTGTAGCCAGTGGTTATAGATGTCATATTACTGTTCTTCAGGTAAGTGCCATTTAAACCTTGTGGCGGTGATATAAATAGGGTTTTGCGTCGATGTTTAATGAATCTGGGCTGGTACTCTTTGAAATTTTCATCTCCCAAAGAAACTAATTAAACGTGCTTCTGCCAAATGTTGGGTTCATTTCCTGCAGGCACTTGATACTTTGAAGACTGCAGTTGTATCCCCTCTCCACGTACATTGCTAATCAAACATTCAGATAACGGACATTGTTTGCAGGTGGAGTTGAAAGGCGAGAGACATTCATTAGAGGTAGCACATTCCCACTTGTAAATTCGTTTACACTTGAGCATTTGGTAGTTCTTGTGTTAGGTTATTCTTTCATCTAAATTTTAGCATGTTCTGATGAGCTGGATCTCTCTCTTATGCATTTGACTGGCAGATTCTGTGAATGGTCAGGGTGCCGCCAGTGGTTATATAAATCACTGTTCTTTAGGTAAGTGGACCTGTTTCTTGCACAAGTTGTGTATTCTCTACTTGCTTTTCTGCACAGTTGTTGATAAAAGCATGCTACTGTTTGGAGTTAGTTTTAACTTGTGCTGCTTTCTTGTAGCATATTTGGTGTCAATTACTCACATTGTAAGCTGGATCGTATATTTAAATCAGTAAATTATCAATTGTTATTGTCCTTCCAGTTTTTATTCCTAGTCCAGTCGTGGTGGTTAATCTCATGCTTGGTGGAGTGAGCTCAGGTCTCTTGTGAGCTTGAGAGCATTCATTCTAAATGTTAGACATCTTTTGCTGCTTTACATTACCGTATTACTTGTTCTTTTACTCTTGCTTTTTAATCACTTTATCATCATATCAAAAGATTTCAGCACAAGTAGTTTTTGGAATGACTCCTTTACATATAGTATTTTAAACTAAATATGTGTTCTGCCGGTTTCATTATAGGGGTTTGTGGAAATGACTCAACTAAGTCATCACAAATTGTTTGAAGTTGAAACACACCAAAATGTTGCTTACTTCCAAGGGGCTTTAAACTGTGGAATCAATGAATGCACCATGCGCTGTGGCCTTGTGACGGAGACTCACCAACAGGAGTTGATTGCTTTTCAAAGAGGAAGCAATCCTCAACTTGATTCTGTTCTGCGTAGCATAGCTACATACACCAATGATGGGAAAGTGTACTTTGTGTACAATCATTACAAGTACACTATCGGTGAGTTGTGCAAGACGGAACATTTCAAAGTCACTACTGGAGGAAGACTGACAAATGGCTTCCTAAATCTAATCAGGTATTTATAATCTTCCCGATTTTATTATTAATCAATATGATATCATACTTATTAAAAAAAAGAATCACGGTTTATTCTTATTTATCAAGAACTAATATGCAATGTTTTTTTAATTATATATATAGGGGCATCTTTTTTGCTTTAGATGAGCTGCACTGGGAGCATAAAACAACTCACAACAATCTGAATGTTAGAAACATTGTCACGATTGAGACTGACGGTCAATCTTGTGTCAAACTCACGGGGCTCGGACTTGATATTCACGAGAGAGATGTGGCTTATAATTATGAGTTAGAGAAAAGAAAAGATTGTTGTGATTTGGAAGGCATACTTAGAGCCATAGTCCTCCACTCTTTACGTTCAGCGCCGATACCTCCAATGTTCGAGGCTCTTATGAAGAATCTGATGTTAGTTTCTTGTTATTTTGTTGGTTCTTTTATGTTCTATATTGTATTATTTATTTATATCTTGAATGCTGAATTTCTATATTTTTAATTGTTTTTCTTTTTCAGGAAATCTGGGTGCCGAAACTTGGCAAACTCGATCTTCCTCTTGAGTCCATACAGGAGGTTGAGCTACTTGGCAGTTGCCTTTAGGCGGGTCCGTATCGATGATAAGCACACGAACCGTTTTCATACATATTTTTTGAGGATCTTGCCAACTGATTGGACTAAGGAAGCTAGAAAGAATCGCCAGCTTGAACTAGTATTGGATTATCCAAGCGCAAAGGAATACAAAACCACCCCAGTTAGTTTTTTGCGGTTTTGTAGAAATGCTGTTATGCATTATCCGACGACAATTCAGGTATTTGTTATAAGAAGTATATAGTCACAAATTCTCTCCACTATTGATATTTATATTAATTATTGGCTATTTTATTTTTGCAGGGTTACAAAAGCAGTTTCCAAGAGCAGTGGAGAGCTTTGTATCATCTCTGTCCAAATTTTTTCAACAAGCTGCATGATTTCTTCATATCTGTGGACATCTTCATTTTTGAATGAAGCGGGTTATTTGGGAAATTGCATCGAGTTACAGGAAGCAGTTGTTTGGAGAATTAGAAGGCGGTCAAGTAGAGAGCTATAGGTTTTAGAAATTGCTTGCTAATGTTGCCTCTTAGAGCAAGCCTACTGAAACTTTGAGTAAAGATGGAGCTTCTGGCCTAATGCAGTGGTGTAGTCGGTTTTGTTTTGAAAGATGAATTTTACTCTTCAAATCATCTTTATGATGTAGTTGAGCTGTGATTACCGTTGAACTCAAACAATTTATCTACGAGTAAGGAATGTTATTGAGATTTTAAGGTATCATTTAATATTTGTATTGGTAATAGATACAGATCCAGGTTGCTAAACATGGAAAGAGGATAGATGTACTGATATCGTCAACTGATAGCGGTCAAGAGATTCAAGCTTTGCTTGAGCATAAGTAATTATTGTTTACGAGACTTTGATGGACAGCTGCCACTGTTAAACTTGTTTCATTTCATTGGTGGAATACTGTACACAAAACAGGATCTGGCATTTCAATTCTATTTACATTGTTGATTAATGTTCTCCCTGAGATGGGGAGAGTACTGTCAACCAATATTTGTGTCTTGATGCATTTGTTTGCTGCATAGTTTGTTTCCCAGGTTACTGGAGTTTATCAACCTCAAATTTCAAGTCATCTCGAGCGGTTTCTGCAAACTCTAAAAAGAGTGATGCTTGCAGTTGGAACATAAGTAATTTATCGAGCATACTACAAACTCTTATGTAAGTAGTTCCGCTTACTTTTATCCGTCTTTCTGAAGTCATGGCATGCTGTTTTACTAATATTTGTCTTTGTATTGTCAGTTAACTCATTGCTCGTACTCTTGATGGGTGTGCCCATCTTCTCCTTTTCATATTTGAGGACCAATATTGTAGAATTACTAAAGCAATGAGGAAAAATGAATTCACATACATAAGTGTTGGAATCACTAAGGAAGAACACATTAGTATTTCATGCTAGTCAAGTCTTTTTTTCTTAAGTTGGGATGAGGCTTGCTATTTGAATTTGATATGGTCAATCACTTCCCATGGAATCGTTAGATCCTTACTAGAACATCCTTTTACTTTTCACTTGGTGGCAGCGTATTACACGGTTAGTTTACTATACTTGGCGATTGTTTACATAATTCGCCTCATACATCTTTATTTTTCTACACATCATTTATGTCAATAGCAGTAATATTTGCAATTAGACATCCTGGTTTGGAATTGCATTTGTTAAAGACATACTGATTTCATAAGCAATATTTGACGTGATCTTTTTTGGAATATGTATCATTGCATGTCTGTTTCCTAATGAATCACTTCAGAAAGCTTCCAGATTTTGTTTGGTTTATATGTTCCTTTCGACACGCGGAAGAAATCAATTTTATGTTTGATGAATCCAACAAAGGGTTACTTGTAGAACTGATCTCAAGGCTTTATTCAAATAAAAAACGTCTTCGCCTAGCAGACGGACCTGTGTCCATTTTCATTTTACTGCATTTGAGGAATCCAACCTTCCAATACTTGTTTCCAAAGGATTTTTTTTGTAGAACTGATCTCAGACATTCTCATGAGCTAGGCGACTTTTATAAAGCATGTTCCATGACAATTCAAATTGCCTACCCCTTGTATGTTGAAGGTACGACCAACCATCTCTTTGGTGAATATTAGGCACAATTGTCTCGTCTGAACTATTTTTCGGATATTGCCTCTTCTGATTCTCATCATGAGTTTTGGTTATTACAAATATTTCTTAGATGGCTTTGTCATGCCATATGTTGATAGAGTAAGCGTTTCTTTTTCAGGAGCTCCGTTTGATCATACTTATGTTTCACTGAAAGAAAATATGAGGGGGAAAATGTATGTTTAGTTCGTAGTTGTAGAAAATCTTGTGGAAAAAACTTGTAGCTAGATGAAGTAGTAGTTGATTTTGTTTGTGGGTTTGCATGGAGAAATATCAGATATGTAAATGAAAATATTCTTGTTCTTATAGCACTACTCAAGTGGATTTCTAGCTTAGGCCATAGGACTGGATTTGTTATTTATTATACTCTACATAATGAAAATGTTTTTGTCACGGTAGGTAATCTGATGTCCTTTCAATTTTCATGCAATGATTTTTATAGAGATGCTGAGTTTGGAGGGATACAGAAATTTGAATGTTAGACTTGTACAAACAAAATGAGGATTTTCGACTTGAAGGATCTACTTGCCTCTGTTAGTCGTTACCTGTTCGTTCTGGACGCCTAGTAAAACCCATTTTCCCTTTGTTATTTAGATTTCAAGGGCTTTGGTGCTCCATATGTTTGCTGTCTACATTTGTTCATCAGAGCATTGTGGGGGGATCAAACTATATATTTTGGTGTGTTATGCATGCTATGTGTTAAGTAATTGCAACACTCGCGTCAGTTGAATGTTGTTGTGTTTAATCTACATGCATACTACAAATGAACCAACTCTAGAAAGAAGCAATTTTGGAGAAAAGCTTAGAGGGGGAACTTGCTTTTTGCAATGATCAGAAGTGATTTGAACTAAAACAGTTTTGTTTGAGATAGCATACTCAATTTGTGCACCAAGAGTGTCCAATTGATAACTCTCTACACGATGCACCTTGTTTTTTGTTTTGGAAAAGATGCACCTTGTGGTGATTGTTCAGCTACACACACATTTAAGTCATAGGACTGGTTTTGTTTTCCTTATAGCGTAACTCTTCGAAGGTATCAATTTTCGCCACAATTTATACCCTGCATACAAGAGCAACCATCCTCCTACACCTGACACGACAGTTCAGGGACTGCAATATCTGAATGCATCCCTCAAAGCCATGTCTGTTGAAGTCATCGAGGTAAATAAGTGTACATTCTTTCCTTTTTTTACGCTACTGTTCTCACATGGTTACTGACCCGGTTCTGTGTGAAGACAGACACCTGGAGTAGAAGCAGACGATGTGATCGGAACGTTAGCCAAAAATGAAAAAAAAGTGTTGCTGAAGGGTTCAAGCTAAGTAGCTGACTATGAAATATCAAAAGTGCAAGGGCATCATTGACTTTACTGTTAGGAAGTGGAGCATACCAGTCAGTGTGAAACAATTTCAAAATTTTGCCAGTGAAAGATAATGATGGATGGTTTCATCATCCATCTTTTCGTATAATACAATGTGTAAAGTGACCCCCTGAAATAGTACACAGCCAGCCGCAGAATAATTGGTATAAAAAGATGGGTGGTATCCGATGTGTTATCCTACATGTCTTTTAGCTTATATTCAGCACATGCAGTCCATGCTTTTACTCTGTTATTTATTCTTTCATATGTTGGTACATATGCCGTAGTGATGTCCAGCACTCGCCTCGCCAATTCTGTAGTTTAGTTTAAAACGAGTCCATCATTCTGTTATTTCCTATTTTGTATGAAAATTCATGCTTCGTCTCAATATGAGTATTCTCTGCCTCAATGTTGTTTATATCCTCTGACATTTAATGCTTTCCTTCTGCCAGGTGCGAGTGGTTTCTCCATATAGAGACTTCTTCCAAATTATATCTCATTCATTGCGTCTTCTACACCTTGTACCACGGGGTAATGAGTTAGTATCCTCCTAAGAACTCTGTCCACTCTAATTCTGCTGACATGTTAAAGATTAATTCATGAAGAAGAATACCAGATGCTGAACTTCATGTTTAACCAGAATCCTCATCATAAAGGATCTGGAGCGGACGGAACCCAAATCCTGCATTTCTTGAGAATAATGCATGTAGATAGTATGAGTGGCCTGTGATTTATAATCTCTTCTCTACATCTAGAGTACATGGATGAATTGTCGAAAGCATGTGCTCTTGGTTGTATTTTAAGTGATCTTAGAACTTCAACTAAGAACCTGTTGCCCTGGAATCTCAATTGGCATCATTTGTGGCCATTTTGTCTGGATAACACCTTTAGGTCTTGGTTCCTTATAAAAAACATCTTTAGGTCTTGGTTTTCCTCGTGAATTAGTTCTGCCACATAATTAGTAGTCTTATATGACAGTAGGGATTTTGGAATCCCTTTATTTTATCATTATTGTTTTGGGTAATTATGAAGTGGCAAATTTTCATAAACTCATATTTCTATTTGAATCCATTCCTGATGCCCCTAGGATAACTCTCGTTGGTCAAATTTATGTCTCCTTGCTGATACCTTATCCATTTGTTTGCTTCGTCAGAATGGGCTCTTTTTGTGATGAAGGATTTTGCTGAACAATATCTGTCACTGAAACCTTCTCAGTCTGTTGATATGATCTCTCTCGTGGGTGACAAGGCAGCTAATATTCCAGGTCATCTTTGCACTACTGTGATTAACTGTATCTATTCTCCCTAAATAGAGAATAAAAATATGCATTTTTTTCTATGACATGCCCTCTGCTTACAGTGAAGTATTATTATGTTTATATCATACAGCAGTAGATGGTATAGGTGACGTCCATGCTTTGCAACTAATCAATAGATTTGGTAAGAACCAGTTGTACCTGTCGCCATCCATTCCATTATATCAAAGCAGGACATATATGCTGCACAAAATCTCTTTACATTAGAATCTGGATTCCATATGTTGTTTCAGAGGCGTCTCTGGCAGCTACTGCAGGATTGTTCTTTCTTCATTTGAGACTTCTTAATCTTTTGTATATGATGGTAATATTCTGCATCTGAAAAGAGCTTACTGATTTTTGCAGGGACACTGGAAAATCTGCTGCAATGCGTTGATCAAGTTGCCGAGGAACGGATAAAAAAGGTAGGAGCTTTTAGTTTAGAATTTAGATTTTAATTGGTCTTTTTGCATCTATTTCGTAGGACCTGATAACACATGCTGATCAGGCTGTACTAAGCAAGGAATTGGTAAAATACAAGACAGCCTTGCCTCCTCTCCTACTGCTTCTCTTCCTTATTACAATGTGTACACATGTTTTTTGGTGGTGGCAGCCATTCTACGATGTGATCTTCCAGACTACATGTTCAACGAAGACCTGGAGTTTAGGAGACCAGCGGTCTGCACAATTGCTTTGAGTTTCTTTTCTATGATATTTCCTCTTGCATGCCCAGTCCAGATCTTAGGAATCATGAGGCATCGTGCTGCTAATGAAATCTGTTTTGGGGGTGACTTGAATCAGTGTACATACAGGACAACGGGAAGAAATTTACTAGCCTTCTGAATGCGATCAGTGCTTATGCCAAAGGATTATCAGCTGATCCAGTCATTAGAAGAGCTTCGTACCTCTGGAAGAGGCTTGATTCTATGTGACCTCTGCTTCACAGCAGCCCCAAATGTGTATACACCAAACTCCCCAAGATATTTCAGTGACTATGAAATGTTTTAGCGCACCATTATGAGTACCAAGCTGCAAAGTTTGCAGGAGATGTAGTACCAAGACAAAGCGGCACATAGTTAGTATAGATAGATGTCAAATCATTGGATAGATGGATATGATTGTTACGAGGGAGGGTAAGTCTATTAAACCAACTAAATGAGATGATCAGTTATCGACAGTTGGGGATGGCTGCGGGTAAGCGGGTTCCCATGGATGAACATAATATCTATCATGCAGCCTCAATGCTACCTAACCCCAGCTATCGTCTTCGATAGGGAACATCAGCTTGTCTAGAAGTGGACTACACTATGGATGGGTGGAGAAGCTGGAGGGCATCGATAGGAATTCTTGGTATCTGTCTCATCATATTGATAATCAGACTAGACTCAGCAATTTGGGATAGAGGAAGTTGCTCGCCCTGTCAAGAGAGGTAAGTGGTGGTCATGGTCTATTGAATAACTAACTGTTGGGGAACATCCAACTACCGTGTTTCCAACCCTCTGCAACTTGGAAAGCAAAATAAGATCCCCATCTGCAACTCGAAAGTTTCTCATTCTCAGTATGGAGACATCCGCAGAAGAGGTCCAAGGCGTTGCGAAAATACATAAAGCACTGGTTAAACAAGTAGAAATGTCATGTCGACGGCATTTAAACAAGCAGAAATGTTGACATCAAAGCTTGTGTAGTTGTATCGATATCCACTCAGTCAAGTAGAAATGTCAATGCCAATTTTCTTCTACCCTGAAAATTGATAAATCAACATTTACATTAATTCATAACATACTAGATCGATCTACATAGCCGTTATCAAAATAAGTTGAATTCGTTGTACTAACTTTTGCGACTCGAAGATGAAGACGCCTGCTTGACATAATTCCTCGTGTAACAAATCAAAGAACCTGGGCCAGGTCAATGCCAATTTCTTATATAGGTCTTCATCATCTAGTTGAACCTATATATACAGAAACAATCTCTTTTGTCAATAGTTAAAAGATTATAACAATAGCCACAATTTCTTGAATAGGAAGACACAACTGTTCCTAATACCTTTTAACATCATCATCAATTAGAAGTAAAGGAAAAACAAGTAATTAGCAAAAATCATATTTCTTACCACTTTATTCTTAGCATCCAACTCCCGGTAATGTAAAGCGACATTCCTACAGTAGCGTAGGAATGCTGAAGCATTAGACATGCCGGCCGTATTCATTATCTTGTGGTGGTCCAACACTCTCTGCAAGAAGACGTCCGCTCGCACGTTTTGCACCCAAGACTGTGCTCCCTCATCTTGGGAAAATGTGGCACTGCCACTAAGTTTCGGACGGAGACCTCCATGTTCAACCTCCCTATCAGCCTCCACAAGATACTCAAACCTCTGTTTCGCCCTTAAAAAGCAGAGAGAATTGTACAAATTCCGGATACTACCTTTACGACTGAACATTTAAGATTAAAAAAAAATGATTAAGGATTTGGAAACAATTTACAACACAAAATAATGCAAAGAGGTAAGCCAACGATATTAACCTTAATGATTTCAAGATTGAGCCAAGCCAAAGAGGGGGACCATGTGGGAACTCAATCAGACGCTCAAGGATGAAACGTAACTCCTGGCGATCACTTATGATCCCTTCTTTTTCTATTTCTTTCTCTTGTTTTTTCGCGAAACATCTCAACTTGACAATGAAATCACCTGGTTTCTTCTGGTTCTTGACAATCACGATGTTGACATCCTTCCTCTTAGGGCCGGTTAGATTATCATGCGCAACTTTCCGCTCCCAGTGGAGTATGTGTAGGAGATGCAATGTTTTCCTTATAAATAAGAAAAATAAACAAACAAGCAGCAAAAGGCACGAAAAGAACGAATCAGCTATTTTAACAAAATATATATTTGCGTTGCTTTCAAACACAACTCATACCTTAATGCTAGAAGAAACTGAGGGGGCAAACATCCATCTGCAAGCAGGAGCGGTTTAGCTAATCCTCCAGAAAACTCCCCCAAGTCGACATCGTAATCTTCGTATACAAACAACCGCCGATCGTCCTTGTCAAATTGCCGAAGAGCGAGCAATACTCCCTTACCCGCATTCCGTGCTCTCTGGAAATACGATTCTTCAAGTTCCAAAGTTTCCCGATCCGCTATTGGAGCGCTTCGAACACTTACAGGGGTGTTGACTTGACCAACATTATCGGATAAGTCGGCTTTGAAAAGCTGGACATCGCCGTCAATTGTCTTAATCGCACCCTTTGGTTCACTAAGTGCCATGTTATTGTCTGTAACATCACAAGTATAATAATGCAAGTGTGAAGAGAGCTAGCTAGCTATCTTGAAATCTTTCTCTGACTCGCTTGAGGTATTTGAAATCTAGCTCTGACCTAATTAGTAATTCGTAATTACATAAGGAAGGAATGCAGGCAACTCAGTACCGAAGGTGAAGGAAGAAATTCGTATAAAGTGACCTGGCAGACGGCCGGAAGCTAACGGCGAAAGGCTGACCGACGGGCTGGGAGGACGGAGGAAGTCACGAGCTGGCTTCTTGCTGTTGCCGGTAAGAGGGGAACCGAGTTGGGTTTTGAATTTTGATTGCGGCTGCTGGTAGGAGGGGAACCGAGTTAGGTTTCCTCTTTTACGGATATTCTTTAATGTAAAGGCGACGTCGTTCACGTCTGTTTTTCTGTTTTATATATAATAATCAGCCTGTTCTCATTAAACAACAAAGGGCTCAAGGGTCAAATAGGGATGGCAATGGGGCGGGTTTGGGGCGGGTTTGTCTAAACCATCCCCATCCCCATTTCCAAATACCCAAACCCATCCCCAACTCATACCCATGCGGATGGAGGGTTTGCAAACCCATCCCCTTACCCGCGGGTTTCGGGTACCCATGGGTAATACCCATCCCCATGTAAACATTACTACTACACCTAATATTCAACATATATTCTTCAATTATAACACTAAAAGAACCAAATAGATGATGAAATCAACAATGTAACAACCATCCTTAATACATCAAAGCATTCAATCCATTGTTAATTGTTTCTAAAAGATCAAAGTCTACTAGACTACTTCAAAAACACAAAGTCACATCTTGCATTCCCTTTCCCAAAAGCATTACATATCATCACTTCATCATTTGGACATCATTCTTCATCATCAGATTCTGCATCAAGGGCAAGACCTAAAAAAAAAATAGTATTAGCTACAAATCAAATAATATTGTGTAGGTAAACAATATACAAATTTGAAACATTACCAGTAAAAGCTCCAACCAAAGCTGGCTCATCATCTTCATTAACAGTAGACAAAACTGTTGGAAGGCAATTTAGAAAGATCCTCTACATAATAGAAAAACATTAATTAGAATGAATGGAAATAATATTAATGATATTAATAAACATTGTACTAAGTATTATAAGATTACCTTCCTCATCAATATGATCCAGTAGCCAACTTTTAGTGCACATAAGAGCTTCAACTGACTTTGTAGTAAGTTTATTTCGTTGAGAGCTAATCAATCGACCACCGGCACTAAATGCAAATTCAGAAGCAACTGTAGACACGGGAATAGCAAGCACGTCTCTTGCAATCAAAGCCAATGTTGGAAACTTAGACGCATTTGCTTTCCACCAAAGCAAGATATCGAAATCAGGACTTCTCCGCAAAACCTTCTCCTCAAGATAAGAGTCCAACTCACTCTTGCCACAAGGACTTTGTGAAAGAAGTTGCTCAACAAACAAGTCATACTCAGTCATACTCCCTACACTTGATTCACCCAAAGTAGAACCATCAAGCGAACAACCAGAACCCTCTTTACTTGCATCAGCCTTAACTTGATAGTCATGGACTAAATCAGCTAGCAAGTCACGGACTTTCTGAATTTCATCACTAGACTTTTTCCCAAACACCATCGGATAGTAAAAGTTCAATAATGTCATCTTGTACCGTGGATCAAGAACAGCAGCCACACTCAACATACCATGAGTAGAACCCCAATATTTATCAAACTTTTTAGCCATCTCAGATAGAAAAAAGTCATCACTTGATACCCACTTAGATAAGCCCACTTTGATATCACAAATCTTGTCAAAAAACAAGTTGGTAGTAGGGTAGTGTGATCCAGAGAACAACTCAGTCACCTCATAGAATAATTGCAACTTCACACAAACTCCATTAGCAAAAGACTAATCATTTTCACTAGGCACCTTCTTATACTTTGGATCTCTATGTGTCAACCTAGCAAAAACATCTTTATACTCCAATGCAGTTTTAAGCATAAGATAAGTGGAGTTCCACCTAGTTTGGCAATTAAGACACAACTTCTTATCAAATTTGATAGGCAATTGTCTTGCTGCATTTTCAAAATTTTCTAGCCTTTTAGGTGTAGATGTCCAAAAAGCCACACTCTCACGAACATTCTCTACACTCTTCTTAATCACATCAAGACCATCCTTCACAATCCAATTCAACACATGTGCACAACACCTCATATGCAACAATGATCCAGATCTCAGCAAATGACGAGGATTCAACTTATCTTTTAGCAACTCAATAAGAAGATCATTAATTTAGCAATTATCTAAAGTTACCGTATTTCTATCCAAGTTCCACTCATACAAGACCTTCTGTATTGCAGTTGCAAGAACCTCACTAGTGTGTGGACATGGCACATAGCAGAACCTACCAATAGAAAATGAAAGAATTAGTATTTGAAATGTTTGATTATGAATTTGAAAAACACTTAATATGAGGAAATAGAACATACCTGATAATATAATTTCTCATCTTCCATGATGCATCAATGAAATGAGCTGTAACTGCCATGTATCCCTTCTTTTGATTAGTTGTCGTCCACATGTCACTAGTAATCGCAACACGGGTATCATTAGCTTCAATCACCTTCTTCAAATCTGTCCTCTCATTCTTGAACATTTTCATAATGTCACTCTTGATAGTGTTTCGAGTTGGGCACTTGAACAATGGTTGAAGAATACACAAGAGCTTTCTAAAGAAGAAATGATCAACTATAGAAAGAGGATGTTCATGAACCACAATCATGGCAGCCAAAATTCTACGTGCCTCTTCCTCATTGAAGTTGTTTAAAGACTTCTGAGACATCTGACCCGTCACATTCTTCACTATCAATGGTTGTCTAATATCCTTATTCTATGAATGATATCTCTTATAATGTTCAAGAAGATGACTAGTACCATTTTTTGAACCCGCCTTAAGAGATTTCTTGCAATAGTGACATTTAGCTTTGATCTCTTCACCCACTTGATACCTTGTGAAGTGTTTCCATGCATCACTTGTGTGGCTTGACTTGCTGAATTTTGTTCCATGACCTTTGCTGATGATTGTGATGAGCTGCTGGCCATCTACAATGAAACAAATGACCATTAATTTAAGCCCTCACTTGTAAAACGAAGATAATTCATACAATGAGCTGGTGGATCGTTTCAATTGCAGGGGAAATCTCTAAAAAATGCTAAGTTTTGAAACAAATGATCATTAATTTAAGCCCTCACTTGAATGTTTTTTACTCCCCAAGAAACCCTCGAGCTCTTGAAGAGCAGGAGCTTGCCGAGTTCTGGTGGCTGGTGGTGCTCAGCGACGGCTTGAAGGAGATGAAGAGGCGCTGGCTTGGTGGTCGTAGGCTGAAGGCGGCGCCGGCGCCGTGGAAACCTGGTGCTGCTCGACGCTCTGTTGAAGAAGATGAAGAAGTGGTGGTCTGGGTTGAAGGAGATGAACAGGTGAGGTCTGAGTTGAGGGAGACGAAGGTTGTGGTGGGCTCGGTTGAAGGCGACAACGGCGGTGCTCTATTCCACTTGTAGGCGATGGCGATTGGCGAGTGGCGATGGTGGACTAGGTTGAAGATGACTGCGGGTGGGCTGGGGTTGAAGGCACCGTGGTGGGCTGGTCGTACTCGTGGAAATCGGCGGTAGGGAAGAGGTGGTTTCTGCGGAGGGACTCGAGATCGACAATGACTCTCGCTACCTAGAGGAAGAGGCGCAGCCGACAGACATAACCCAAAACAAAAGTGAAGTTGTGATTGTGAAGGGGTGAAAGGCGAAGGCCGATTTAGGGTTTGCTGGCATATTACAATTTTAATCTCTATTTTTACTAAATTGAAATTTTTGCTCTTTATACATTTTGCATATTACAAATCATATTTGGCGGGGCGGGGGAGGCTAAAACCAAACCCGCCCCATACCCATCAGAGTCTTTGCGGGTTTTACCCATATCCAGTCAATGCGGGTATTCCCCATGTTGATTGGGGCGGAGGCGGTCGGGTACCCGCGACCATGAGTTTTATTGCCATCCTTAGGCTCAACGTCATTATCCGCTACAACTACAAGGGCAGAATACAAAAAAATGGGTCACCACCTCATTTGGCCTTGTTGCCTTGTTGGTGCTCCAAGCTAATAGGAACTAGACACATGAAATAATTTATTTTAATTATTGTTGCATCTGTTTGCCGTTGGGTAATCCTGTCTCCTCTCTCTATCCAAAATTTTAGTTAATTTCATCTATCAATATTTCGCGCACCAACCAAATGAGCACATATGATAATTTAATTTTAGTTAATCTCCATCAAATAGTTTTTTTTCTCTCTCGGTAGAATAGAAGTAATACTATATATAAAATTTCCAACCATCAAACTGTAATAAAATATTAGCTTTGTCATCTTTACTATATGATCAGTCTAGTCTCCCAAGGTTAAGACTTATGTTTTCAGAACCAAACCCTACGTTGAACTAGAAAGTCAGTAATTTATTATTCACTAGTGGTCCGTTATGAAACCGAAAAATCGTTGGTTAACACTTGTTAGTATCGTTCATGCTGTATAACATAAAAGACATATAATATACTAATTCACATCCTCCACAGTTGAAGGATGAACATGTTTTAGAGTGTTTTGGTCAACAAAAAAACATCAACGAAATCCTGATCATGTCAATGCTCGTCACAAAAAATTGCAGACGCTATTCTAGTGGATTTGTTATGTTCAATCAACACAAAAGCCAGTAGAACCTTAATTCTCAAAGCTCCCTTAAAAGACTTGGGTTAATGACATATCTTTTTTTATTTCGTGGGAAAGGGTTTTTTGACCACTAATGATTTAGATTGATGAATAAATGAAATTAGCGAACCAGAAGAACAGTAGGGAACCATAAAAGGAAAGAAGATGATTTAGATCGATAAATAAATGAAGAAAGAGAAACTTAAAAAATGTTTACCACAAATTAATCCTAAAAACTTTAACTAATTAATATGGATTTCATAGGTGGAAAATCTCTATTGGTCGGGTGCACCAAATCAGCCTTATGACATGGTACATCTGGTGCATTGAAGATTTTCTCCGCCCGGTAATCAGCTAAGATAAAAAGTGTGCTCCAGCCTCCAAGAACAAACCGAGTGGGTTAGAAAATGAGCTGAAGAGTTACACACACTAGGAGCATAATTCCAAACCATTTTTATCTCCAATAAGCTCTCAATTGCAGCGACCAAATCGAGGATGGATGAGCATCGATGCTAGGTTTAAAGTGACTCAGTCTTATTCCAATGGAATCTTAAACTTATTATTACTTCGCTCCGAACTACTATCTAGTCAA